CAGGTAGACAAAGGTACAGATGGACAGAGAGACAAAGAGACGGAGACTGATAGGCACAGATAAAAAAAGAGACGTGGAGACAGATTACTGACACACGCAGACACTGAGAGATAGACCGACAAATAGATAAGGGACAGACGTACATAGGGACGGGACAGAGAGGCAGATAGATTACCTCTGTACACGCCGAGTCATTAATGAATTCATCCTTCCGCCCTTCCGCCCGCTCACTCAGGAAGGATCTTTGGCACGTTCCCTGCAGGTTTGTTTGATAATGGCGATTCCACCGAAGATGGTAACGGCGGGAATAACGGCACCACCGACAATAGCCGCGCTGTGCGGAACGCGTCGAGAGACGCATGTGGCCGATCTAAAACGAGTCCAAACGCGCAAACACTTCAGACGGAGGTTAAACAAAAAGTAGCAAATTCTGCCTTGCAGGATGAATGCTCTTCGTGTATACTGAACTTGTTGTTCGTGTATACTGAACTCGTTTGGCGCCATACGTAGCCAACTGTGCTAATCAGAGGTGCGGGGGAGCGACAACAAATTCAACTAAATTTCTATTTTATATTTGTGTACCGCGACCTATTTGTGGGGATTTCTTTAGTGTTGTCCCCACGGGTGCATGAATTTTCTCTGGATGGACATTCCATTTACCACCCAACTCAAAACATTAAAAAAGCTCAATAAGGAATTGGCCAATCACCCCAAGCAAGAGCATCTTGAGAAGGGATATTGAGATGCAGTCGATTGCGTTTCTGGATAAGCAATGGTTAGTTAATAAATTAATTGAAGTATACATGAACATACTCTTTGGTTCTTTCGGTAAAGTGACGTAGTTAGAAATAAAATATTTTATATAAAATATTTAATTTTATTATTTTCTACCTACGTGACGACTTTACCCAAAGAACCAAAGAGTATGGATTCCGGCAGTCACGAAAGCTTCAAATCAAGATTATACATGAACAATTCAACTTTTGTCAATATGATCGGTTTATTGAAGTGAACAATTCACACATCCTCATGGCGATACGGTGAATGACCGTGATTCGAGTTCGCGATTCATTTCAAGAATTAATTCTTTCATTGTAACGTCACGGCCTCAACTGGCTGCAAGGGACGGCGCCAGCCCATCGCTGACGGCATGCGACTTGAGAACCGTTCATTCCTAGACGCGCGATTCGTTGTGTGCGTCGTTAAGATGAAGGGTCGACATTTATCGATGGATCGATGCGATCGTTAGGGCCCGAATCGTGATCGATAGATGCTTTTTTTTAATGAAACGAATTTCGATGTAAGTGTACTGTGTGTGTTCATTGTGGTGTTTAGTTTTACGAATAAATAGTCAAATGTATTTCTCCTCAAATAAGCATTGAGGCGGTGTTCATCTCCAGTTTACAGCCCTGAGCCAATGGTGGGAAGTCCTCATTCCTATGACGGGGCTGAATTTATCCATAGGACAGCCACTGTTGACAAACTAGCAAAGTGGTACTTATTTTATGAACTTCAAAATGATGATGGGCTGATTCACTCCCCCCCCCCCCACCAACCAGGATTTGAACTGTAAATTGTTCATATGCCACCTCGGTTCGAAATTCTATCTCCACATTCAGGTCAAAATCTTTTGTCTCTCTTTGCTCCGAAAAAGGATGAAGAGCCGAAATGTTTAGCATATGGAGGTGCACAGACGCATCGATTCATCAAAGAATTCAGATGAATTATTATTCTCACGGCACACGCATCGAATCGATCGCTGTGTTTTTATTTATTTGCGTGTCATGTCCACTTGACTGGGTTCACGTGACTGGGTTCACGTGAACCCTGCAACCGGTGGAGGCGGAACCATTCAGCGCAGTATAAATAAAAAGCACAATTCTCGAATCGAATCGCAACCTTGAATCGCAAGGTAGTGTTTGGTTTGGCACTGACAACGGTGGTGAAGTATTTGTACATATGAAGCATGCTGTGTGACTTGCGTGCGGTATAATCTGAACACGTTCCTCTTTTTCAATGCACATTGTTTATTTTATATTTCCCCAATTTGTATTCAACCCGTGCTATCGGTGTCGCGTTGGGACGGGATGCAGAATTTTCCATTCGGAGCTCTTGGAGAACAGTGCACCCAACCCCGTGTAAGAGAACGGCGCTCAGAAACAGACGTCACAGAACTACTGCCGAGGTCTCTTCAAACGTCCTCTTTTTGTTTTTGCCACACAAGCTGATGCCAAGACACGTTTGCCACATGACGTTCAAACCAATATTGTTGTTGTTTTATTCTCAGAGCTGGATTTTTTTTTTACCGAAGTAAGTGAAAATAAAAATGTAATATGATCACTACTTTGTTAGGCATCGGTGATCAGCCTGAGACCATCAGAATCTGGAGGAATCCGATGAGCTATAAAGCTCTTTTTAACATTATTCGGTTATTTCGGTAAAGCCACGTAGATAGAAAAAAAGAAAGTGAAAAAATTATAATAATTAACAACAACAAAAACACTGATGTAGACTGTAGCCTAGTTCTTAATTGGAGTGAGTGTACTGGCAGTCTTTAATGTAGACTGTAGCCTTGCTCTTAACCTCGGTGAGTGTATTGGCAGTCTATAATGTAGACTGTAGCAATGGTTATTAAACTAGGTGAGCGTACTGGCAGTCTATAATGTAGACTGTAGCCTGTTTTTTAAGCTGGTAAGCATATTGGCAGTCTATGATGTAGACTGCAGCAATGGTTATTAAACTAAGTGAGCGTACTGGCAGTCGAAAATGTAGACTTATTCTTGGTTCTTTCAGTAATTTAAATATAAATTTAAAAAATGTCCGGTTTAACCACGGGCGGCTGAACCGAGGATTCGAACCCTGATTTCGTCTGACCCCTGAGCCACGTGGCCATCTCCGATGAACACATTTCCTAACATTTACTGAACCCACGCCTGCATATCCAGCCTACCTTCACGAGCCCATTGCACAGCTCCATTGCCATTAAACGGCCATGTGGCACAGAGGCTGGTTGTGAGTTCGAAATCCCAGTGCTGGGTTGAGTATATAAATTAAGCAGGCAATAAAATGGCCCCTGCCATAGTAATATGGAAATTGTCCCACCACTGGCTCAGTTGTCACCAGTAGAGATGTCAATTTCCCACCCTCCCGCATGCTCGCTTGAGCAAGGGACACTTTGTGTTAAATAATGACAGCATGGATTCGAAGTTGTGGTAGCTGCCACTGGTGGAGAGCGATATCTGAACCGGCGTTGGGCTCCCCTTTACCACCCGGCGCGCGCAAGGCAGCGCGCCTCGCGAGACTTGGCATGGGGGTAGACCTTCATCCAATAGTGAATTGACCATCGGCTGTGAATGATTAACCATGACATAAATACCCCCACCCCGCCCTACCCACCGAGTATATTCGAGTAGGGGCAAGACTCTCATTGTGAGTCGTGGCTAGAGTGAGAAAGTTAAACGTTTGTGTTTATTGTCTGCACGGATGATGGTCATCTTTAGCGCGGGAGACCCGCGGTGCTGAGTGAATGCAGCAGCAGCAACAAAATAAAAAAAACGAAAACGTCGACATTGCAGAGAACGAGTACACCAGGGTCCCAAAGGAATGATGCACAACTCACAAACGAGGCATTTAACGGACGTAAACGAATCGCACACGTGGACCAAAAACAGTGCAAATGTAATCTCACAAGTTAGGTACAGGTGCACGTTAGCTTTATATATTAGCCTAACGGGGAAAGGCCAATTGCATGAACATATTCCTGTTAGCGACAGCATAAAAGAATCCCGTTTTATTCACGTTTAACCCATTGTTTATTTTCACAAACGAGCCTGCTCACGGTGACCGCTCGATCCACAAGTCACCGTGCCCCTTCATCGATTTGAGGCGCAATGAGCGATTGCCTAACAAGCGATTGCTTCATGAGCGAGCGAGGAGGCCGACAAATGCTCGTGTAATAAGGCAGCCCGTCGGGCTACATCAATGCCGTGCCTGGGAATTATTCTGGGCTTGCATCCATTCGAGGACACGCGTCATGTGTTCACAAAAAAACTTCGACATCTGATTTTTACAAAACTCGCCGCAGAGCTCGCCAACGGCATAGCCCGGGTCTGCGTAACATTTGGACAACATTGGCAACGAAATACTTCCAAAAAAGGGCTTCTGTTTACTTTTGTCTTCGACGATTTTTATAACACAGTGCTGCCCGGGTCGCATTACCATGTGAGAGTGTGGGCGTCCGAGCTCTCACTCACATCTCTAACGCGTCCGTGCGTTTTGTGTGGGCGTGCGCGCGTCTCTATTCGTGTGCACGATTCTCGGTACGGTCCAATCCCATAACAAATTGGAGGAGGCTCTGTTAACGGACTGACTCGCTAGCTTATTTTGTTTGCGTCCTATCGGTGATTGCCCTGTGTGTGGGACGGATGCGGATGCCGACATGTCACGCGTTTACCAGCAGAGGCCATTAAAAGATGTTTCAGCCGTAACTGCTAGGCCGTTTATCAAGCCTTATGAATCTCTCTCTGTCTTCTCTGTCTCCTCTCTTTCTCACTTGCTCTCATCACTCCCCCATCTGTGCATTCTTTATATTTACATGTCATCATATTATTACGTGATTACTGGTAACATTTCCTTTTCTCAAAATTCATCCTGGGCTATCCCGCCCTTTAAATATATAACTTTATTTTCAGTCACAATCCACCTCTGTCTCCACGCCGATCTGTCTATCTCCTCTGCCCACATCTCTGCATTCTCTTTCTCTCTCCATCTCTTCCCACATTTCCCCTCCACCCCCAGCTTCCGCGTCTCTCTCTGCACCTCTCTGCCTCCCCATCTTTCTCTCACTATTCTCCCCCTCTACTTCCTCCTCCTGCTCCTCTCCCCATTTCTCCCTTTCCTCCTCCCTCTCCATTTCCATCTCTCTCTCTCTCGCTGTCTGTGTCCCGTCTCTGTCCCTCTGCCCGTCTCTCTCCTCCGTGTGCCCCGTGTCTCCCCGCCAGCCAGAAGCTTTCCCTCCGCGAGCGACTGTCCAGCCCGGTCACGCAGCTCATGAGGAGTCGACCTAACGCCGGGCCCAGCGGCGGCTGCGCCGGCTCCCTCACGCAGCCCGGCGGCGGCGGCGGCGGCGGCGGCACGACCGGTTCCCCCGGCGGGCACGGCCCCGACAGCAACGGCCCCGGCACGGCGGCGGCGGGGGCCGTGCCGGCGGACGCCGTCCGCTCCGGGTACAGCTCCCCCGCGGGGCCCGGCAGCGACGCTCCCTCGCCCGCCGCCCGCGTGCCCAAGTCGCGCTCGTTCAGCGAGCGGGCGCGCCTGCGCACGTCGCTGCGCAGCGTCCTGCACCACCGCGTCGGCACCGGTGAGCGCGACGGCGATCGGCACGCGCGCGCGCGCACCGGTCGCGTCGGGCGCCGGTGCGCGCCGTCGTTCTGAAAAAAAAGCTCTGATGTGGTTGCGTGGCACCCTCCACTGGCTATTCTCTGATACAAGACACAAGGTGGTGCACCGCTTACTGTCAGAGTTCTCATTGGTAATATCTTTATCTCAGAACGTGGCACCGATAGCGAGACGGCTATTTAATTTGAAACAAAGGGAAAATAAATAATTGCATAGTAGAGGTTTTTTGGGAGAGATCGCGTAAATATATAAATATCGTTAAACCCGCCACCACCCGACACAGCCAACGAGTAAGGGTTGTCACGTTAACAGAACGTGGCCAATTCGTCACAAGTACAGCACTAACCGGTGTGTTGGAGGGCCAAGCCACAACATTTACAATCTGAGTACGACGTTTCGCCAGTAATTACAACCAGCTTCATCAGGTGACAGCCAGATTTGTGGAGAAGTCTAACTGTTTCGTTCCTTATATAGAGGAGGCGTAGATGTGGTGACCACGCTTCTGTGATCTTGCGCAGAAGTGAGAGGGGGGGGATCAAATGAGTCAACGTACATGATGCGTGTGCATTATGCGAATCCTTTGATCTTGTCCTTCCTGTCCATTGTGTGTATTAAAATAGCCGTACCAACGGTAATTCCTATTGCACTGAGATCTATGGGAGTGGTCAATCGGTGACATTGCTAGAGGGCTGCAGTGGCATGGTTCACCTTAATTCTGAAAGTTTATCGCCACTATTTTGTACGTACGCAGTGTCCTGATCCAGTGGTAGAAATTATCCGTTCCCATGGCGGAAGCAAAGTCTCTCCATGGGACAGTCGCTGTTGACTTGCCCGCAAAACGGTACTCATGCTATCGGCCCCGGTGGGATGACGGACTGAGTCGACACCCCCCAATCAGGAGTTGAACTCGTAACCTCTCCGATTGCGAGCCGCTCGATCTCCCTCCGAGTCACCCGGCTGCCTTCGCACTGCCGTGGCTGCATTGAGAGGCGTTTGTTTGGCGTTGCGATTTATAATTGCGAAGACCAGCATTTTTACGATGACCAATGTACTCAATATGTCCGAAACAATGTTTACCCTTGCCATAATGCAGGGTGATTTTTTTTTTGCGAAGACAGTAGGCATAACCTGACCTGGAGAGCAAGCAATGCTCGGCCAAGTTTGATTCTAAATACCTTTGCTGCACCACCATCTCTTGGCCACCTCATAGCTTGTGTGAGCGTACGATTGTGTGTGCGTCTGTGTGCACGTGCGTTCCGGCCTTCATAAGTGCTCGCGAAAAGCACTTGCCCCAATAGTCTGTTAATGCTATTTTGTGTATCTTTGTCTTTGTGCGTGTATACTTGTGCATCTATATGTATGTGTCTTCATGTGTGTGTGTGCATGTCATTGTGTGTGTGTGGAGCAATGGTGAAGTTGTTAGCGTGCTGCACTACGAACCCAACCACCCAAGTTCTATTCCCGCTCACGGCCAACATCGGTGATCCATATCTGATCAGAGTATGCATCAGTACTGGGGATACAAAGGCGTCCGGGCGTGGTGCTGGTGACCCACTCCCCTTGTGTGCCATGTCGGCCTTCATAGCTGCTTGCAAAAACAGCACTTGCTTCAACATTCTGTTAGAGGCTATACGTTGGGGGGGGTCTTTGAGTGAAGCGACGACCCCTTTAACAGAGACACCTGCTCCTGCTTGAAGCATTTAGGCTGGCCTGCCTGCGATGAATGCTATATTTAATCAGGCTGGCTTGTGTGAGGAGCTCACAGATCCTTCAAAGATCTAGATCAAGTACCATCAGTGAGCTCCTCTGACAGGCGAGGCTGCATGTAGCCCGCATGCCCCAGCCACCGCATGCCCACGCACCTACATAGATAAGAGGGGGCTAAATGAGCATGGCATATGGGAGAGAAGAGATGGGTGAATGTGGTAAAGGAGGACCCGGGGTTATGTGGACTTGTCAACAATCGGTATCCGCAGTATTTTGATCGATGTGTGTGGAGGAGGCTTGTGAAGGACGCGACTGGGAAGTTGGGAGGCAGGCGCCCAACCAGCAAAAATGTGAAGGAGCAACGATCATAACAACGAGCAGAGTGCCGAGCGGCTAAGACGCAGCAAATTGGCGAAGTGGGGAGCGCAGGTGGTGAGTTCAATTCCCGCTCGTGGCCAACACCAGTGACAATGATCTGAACTGGGCCTCCCCACGTACGCTAAACAAAATGACCACCTGGTGCGGTGTGTAAACATCGCCACTGGAGAGACAAAGGCGGCCGGGTGTGGTGCTGGCCACTCACCCCTTCGAGCGCCGTGCTGGCCTTCATAGGTGCTCACTAGCAGCACTTGCCCCAAAAGTGTGTTAAGGCTATACGGGGATCTTTGTCTTTGTGTGTCTTTGCGTATGTGTGTATACGTGATTCTGTAGAGGGCTACCTTTCAGCCGTATTTGACCCTGTCGGTGACCCAGAATATATTTCTGCACTCGGCACACCACATCCAGTGTAGCTCTTGCTTTCGACTCTGGCCACTAGGCACGTGGCCCGCTCCAATCTACTCTCGGCCCCAAAAGTATTCAGTCCACGAACGGATCGTTGGGTATGGGTTTGCGTGAATCAGCGTGTATGTGCGCGTATACGTGCGTGTCCGCGAGCTCGTGCGTGTGTCCGACTACTTGTGTGCGGGGCACTTGTCATCATCACCGTCACCACGATCCATGGGGCAAATAGTCCGTAGGTGTTTCCGCTTTCCTCCGTCTCAAGCCATGCCACATCTTTCCTGGCACCAATCTATTTGTGTCGTCAAGACATTCTCTGTTAGGTCTTTCTCTCTTGCCGGTTCCTTCCATTTTCCAAAACAACACCCTTCAAATGTTTCTGTTGTCGTCCATCCTACACGTGTGTCCAAATAGTGTCAGTTTCCTTCTCATCACTGCCAGCATCGGGTCTTCTTCTGCGTGCAACCTTTTTTGCGGTATAAATACACAAGAGGGGAGATCACTTCCGACCGTATAAATATTTGGAAGGACGTGTGTGTGTGTGTGTGCTTGCCCATATTTTCTCTCCCCCAAGTTCAATTAACAGCCGCCCTCTATTTTAATCAAAGCGACATCCGACACTGAGCGTCGTGGCCGCGCCTCCGCCGCCGTGAGCCGGGGCAGCCTCGCTTGAGCGGCGGCTTAGGGTCGTGCGCGACACTCAACACCGGCTGGCGCCAGCCTCAACAACGCTCCGGCCTCAAATAAATAAATAAAAAGTCCATCTCTCTGCGTAAATATATATGCCGCCTGATCATCGTCGCCGTCAGCAGCCATGGTCAATCCGCTGCTAAATTAAGGCCTCGCAAAGCCGTCGCTGTCCTTCCACCGCACCTCCGGTTAGCGCGGTTGGCCACATACGGTGCGAAAGAAGTTCTAAATACTTACATACCTACATGTTGGTGATGATGGTCGACCGCGTGTGGTGATGATGGAAGCTTGGACCAGCCCTGTATCATCTAGAGGGGGGGGGGAGGGCTGGAGGGGGTGGGCTGGAGGGGGGCTAGAGAGGGCTGAGTTTGCCCCTGCCACTCACGATCCTGCGATGCATAATAATAATCAACCTGGCACATGCACCCAAAATTATTCCATTGCTCCATCTCCCCGGTAGTCATCTTCATGGATTCGCTGCTTTTCCTGTGCCACCACTCTGTCATTATTCTTGCCCCTTTCCAGCCGTGATGTGTCCTGCCTAAGCCGCTGGCATTTCTTCATAGTTTGCGCGATGTCATTAACCTGCGTACGCTCTCTGATCCACGTGCTCCTCTTTCTCTCTCCAAAGGTAATTCCAGGCATGCACCTCCTACTTTGCACACTCTTCAGCCATTTCGTTCTGTGCTTTGCGTTTGTGACTGAGATCCTCCATGGGACTTACCAACAGCCGACCCCTCCTCTCTAGCAACCAAGGCCGCCCGTCAGTCCCATCCACCGCGCTGCGTCCCCTCGGTCACGTTGGAAGTGAGCTGGCCCCGTTTGTGGACCCGGAGGGCCTGGCATGGATTCCCACGGCAGCCTTGCTGGGTGAGCGAGTCGTCGGCTCGCTCGCCCGCTCGTTTGTCCGCTCGCCCGTTCACCCACCTGCTCGCCTGCCCACTCGTCCACTTCCTCGCCCACCCGCTCGCTCGTCCACCTACTTGCTCGCCCGCCCGCTCGCCCGCTTTCACAAGCGCCCCAAACGCAGCGGTGCCGTCCCCCTGGCAACCGTCGTGGCCTCACGGGGTCAACCCGAAAGCGCCGAGGTCAATGGTGTGCCATGCATAGGTCCACTTCAAACGTCCCCAGCTCTCCGTGGTGTTTACGCCTTCTGCCCCTGTTCAAATTCAGATTTAAGACCTCCCTATTCTCCTCTGCCTATGAATGACCGCCTCTTCACCGTGGGGAGTCTTGCCAGTGACTCCGATCCTCGTGGCTCGGACCGCGAGGTCACTGGAGCGAGAGGCTGGGTGTTGTCCGAAGCGACGGACGCTGGTTGTGAAGGCTCGTGATGAGAGTGATGAGAGGGCAAGCCGCGACAACGCTACCATCATCCACCGCCAGTGTCCTCAATCGCTTCTTACCATTAGCACTTGTCCATCATCAGCCGTGATCAATCCACTGCTGTATGAAGGCATCCGCAAGCTGCAACCATTCATTAAATATATATAAAGACGTTTATTGAGAGCCGTGCACAATCCCACTGCTGTGTATAGCATCTTCACAAGCAAGTGGCAACAATGCCAGTACAAGCTGCGTTGCATTGCCCGCAAATTACTCAATTTGGAATACACACAGCAGTCATTGCCCTCCACTGCTGGCAGCCCAATGCTCGCCCACAGGCCAGGTGCTGAGTCACCCTGTGCCACACGGGGACAGCTGCCACTCGGGGTGCCCCTTTCAAATGCGTTTTGCGGTGAGCTGCCGTGTAAGTCGCTCGCTTCGCGCCCGCGCGCAGCTTCTCGCGATGCGCCAACGGCGTGAAGGAGGGCGGCTCCGTGAGACGCACAAATTGTCGGTCGTGGCCATCGTCTTGTGCCCATCGCGCTGTGCGTGGCGCAGAGCGTCGGTCTCCGTATCTGGTGTCCTGGCACCGCTTGGCCCACATCGCTCACTCGATCCCCTTTCATCCCCCGAAATGTACCCGGGGGCGTCTTGGAAGGGGATGTGAGCTCGGGGTCTGTATACATAGGTCGGGGGTGTACAGAAAAAGAAGAACGAAACTGAGAAATGAGCTTGCCGATTTTATTTTCAGACTTGAAGGGGTAATGCTTCCGATCTGACTTAGAGGCGCATTCTAAAGCTGCGCGTGTGTGTGTGTGACACGCTTACACACACACACACACTCGCGAATGCATACGGATGCACGCGAATATATGCACACGTGTACATACACGCAAAAAAACACGAAAAACAACTACTGCTATATCCCGCTAAGTGGTGGTGATGTCACCGTGGCGCTTGTGCCAGGCTAGGTGCACTTTGAGGCAGCTTGAAATGTCGAAGGCTCTCTGGCAGGAGGTTACGCGACAGACCCAAAGTGTTCTGAATTGACTGACTGAAATGACTGACTGGCAGATGTCCCACCTGTGCTCCCCACTGTGGTGTTGACTCGCTGCGTTTTAGCCGCCGGTCGCTCTGTCCTTTGTTGTGAGCGTCGCTCCGCCGTCTTTGTTGCTGGAGGGCGGCTGCCACGACCTTCCCAGTAACGTTCATTACGAGCCTTCTCCATAGACACTGCAGGTAACAGTCGTCAGCAAGGCCAGTCAGCTCCATGTATTTTGGTACCACATCTCATGTACGCACACACTCACGGGTACATGCCTGTACATGTACACACACACATACACACACACATACACACGGTTACATGCCTGTACATGTACACACACACACACACATTCGCTTTACATGTGTACGGACATGCAAATATGCGCAAACTAGCACAATCATGCAAAATATGTACACACGTGCAGACACACGCACGCACAGGCACACAAATGCACACACGGGCACACATACATTGCACACGTGCACACAGAAGATTTGTATGCATATATCATTCCCTGGGGTTGATAGAATATGTTCCACTTTGTACAAAGTCAACACTGGCCTAACTACGTATAGAGAAACTAACCATAGGAATGTGTCATTTCAACGAATTGCTGAGATACGCAGGTGGCGTATCTGAGCACCCCTACGTGCGTGTGTGTACCCCCTCGTGTGTCTCTGTGCGCGTGTGCGTGTACGCGAGTGTGTAGAGTGCTTAACCTTCAGCCGTCTTTGACCCTGTCGGTGACCCAGAATATATTTCTGTACTCGGCACACCACATCCAATGTACCTTTTGCTGTGGCCCGCTCCGATCTACTCGCGGCCCCAAAAATATTCAGTCACGAACGGATCGTCGGGTATGGGTTTGCGTGAATCGACGTGTACGTGCGCGCATACGTGCGTGTCCGCGAGCTCGCGCGTGCACGAGTGAGTGCCACGGCTAACGTCAGTGGTGCGAGTGACGTCTGAATCGGGCCTGGGCCCGCCCCCCCCCCCCCCAACTTTCTCACCGAACAGCACTGACCCGGGTGAGTGAAGCATGCCCGGCGTGCGAACCAACGTGTGCTGCGTGTTGTGCACAGAGGGCGCGCTCACCGACGACATGTTTAGCGAGGTGGGGCTGCCGGGAGACGTCACCCGGGAGAACTTTGAGCCCGTCGTCAAGAACGGCATCCGAGCCATCAGGTATGAAAAAAAAAAACAAGCACCGTGCCCGCGGCAGCGGAGTCACGACCGCAGCGATGACGGTGACGTTTGGGCGAAGACGGTGGTCACCGCATCGCACGGCGCTGTCGGGGTGGTGCGCTTCTGCGGCCGTCTGTAACGCTCTTCCTTCCCATATTAGGAAGCCACTGGAGCCGTACGCTTTTAAATGTAGATTGAAAACGAATTTGATTTGTAACTGCTTTTCGTGTTTAGTTTGTTGTCCTTCTTCCGCACCTCCGATTAGCCACGGTTGGCTGCGTACGGTGCAAAAGATTACATGTTGGTGATGATATTCGACCGCGTGTGGTGATGACGGCAGTTTGGGCCAGCCCTGTATCATCTGGGGGGGGGGGGGGGGGGTGCTGGAGAGGGCTGAGTTAGCTTTGCCACTCACGATCCTGTGGTGCATTATAATAATCCACCTGGCATCCGAACTGATTCTATTGCTCCACCTCACTGGTGGACATGATCATGGCCTCGCTGCTTTTCCTGCAGCGCCATTATTCTTGGCCCTTCCAGCCACGGTGCGTCCTGCCCAAAAATTATGTAGAAAGGCGGATATGTGACGGGGACGCAATTCTCTTCTTGTTTGTGCTGCTGCAGAAGCACCGATGACACGTGCTTGCATCTTCGTAGTGGCCAGCCTTGTAGAAGTTACCTGATGGGAGCATGCACCTAAGACCAATATTCTTTTAAGTCTCTTTATATCCAGCACTCGCACGACGTACGATGCCTTGAGCTCTGCCGGGCACCGTGAGGTTTCCCTTCGCACAGTCGGTGGAGGAACGAACATTGCATAGGCCGTCTGGGGTGCCGCGGTGGTGAGATGTTAACTCCCTCGCCCGGTATGCAGGAGGTCATGGGTTCAATCCTGACCCTGACACCTGTTTATTTGGAGTTGCGTGTCTCTCTCCCCGTGGTCGCATGGATTTTTCTCCGGGTCCTCCGGTTTTTCCCTCCACATTTAGAATAAAAAATCACGCGTTTGGAGTATTTGGCTGCGCTCGATTTCCACACGATAAGCAACTACGTTGAGCTGTCACTTGTGACAGCTGCGTCGCTTCTGAAAAAAGAGCTGTTTCTAGCTCAGTGGGCATTACCGGGTAAAATAAAAATTGTTTAGTTTAGTTTGTGAGATTGCGATTGGGAATGCAACCACGCGCATCGTCCTCACCGACATTGAATCCGTTGTGGGTGGGGTGCGACGCCCGCCTCTCAGCATGTTCAACACGGCGTGTACCACTGACACAAGCACGTCTCCCTGGCCTTCTCGTCATCTTGGCAAGAACCCGTCGTGTGCGAGACGGGTTTATATTTACTCTTGGCCGCGCCGCTGCGAGTATTTTTTCTCAGCGGCAAACCGATCGGGCGGTAAAAAGTGAAACGGAAATTCATCGCCGCTACGAGCTTGGAGTTCTTTCCTTGCGGGGGAATGTACGACTCATGTAGGAAGTTGCGGAACTGTGGCATCGGTTCCCTTTGCGAGGTCGCAGTGACGGTGCCAAATGTCAGATAGCACCCGAGGGTGGCCTTGATTGGCTCCTTGCCGAAGCTCCATTTCGAAGACAAACTCCTCTCGCGCTCGTCAAGGAGTGTAACCCGTCACGCCACTCCGGTCATCCTCGCAACGGCTTTTGGCTAGCCATCGAAAAAAGACGGTCACCGTATCGCGCCCTTTCGGATGCGCTCCCGGTATAAGGAAGCCACTGAAGCTGTGAACTTTTAAATCTAGATTGAAAACTAATTTATTCAGAACTGCTTTTTGTGTTTCGTTTGTCATCCTTCCCCCCCGCACCTCCGATTAGCACGGTTGGCCTACGTACAGTGCAAAAGAAGTTCAACGTACAGTAGATACCTGCCTTGGGCAGCCACTAGGTTGTTTCATCCAACCAAATAAACATTCAGCTTGTGGTCAATTACATCTGCCTTCATTATCTAATACAAAACTACTTTAGTAGGTTTCGTATTTTAGCCGTTTCTAGAGCGCACGGAGAGAGGCTTAAGTCTCGGTGTTTCACTGGCACTGGCTGCTGTGAGTCTAGCGATCGGGTGCCATGATGGCAATGTTTAATCTCAAACGAGTCATTTGCGATGTAATCTTTTGAAATTTGGCAAATTTAAGGTCTTGACGCCGGCAAGCAACACCCCACTCTTTTGAAATGATGTCACTGGATCCTGGATGTCCACTCTGATGCAGACCGGGCGCGCGTTTTATGTTTTAACACACCCTGCAGTATTAACCAGGGCTACCTGCCAAGATCGCACCACGAACCTCTGCAACCCCAAATGAACTCTGCGACGCTAGTGGTCTCCACTGAGATCAACCTCAGTTGCTCTTTCTTTCTGTTACCTCTGGGTGTGTCCTTTGTCAGAGTATCGTACGTAGCGATTCCTGTGCCACATGACCGGCATTGTCTTCTTCGGAAGGAACATTTTACTCAATTCTGGCAGTGCGCTTCCCTGTATTTGACGTCCGTCGGTTTCTTGCTCATGGCTGTTTCCTCCCTTATTCTTCGGGATCCATGCTTGCCTACCTCGCGATATACCCTTCGTGAACATCTTCTTCACACGAATCTAAAAAAAAAACAACGCAGAGACTGTTTGGCACCTGCGCGGATATGGCGTGACGCTAAAAACCGGCATTCAAGAACCGTGTTTGCAGAGCGGTATTCTGAATCTGAAGCAAAATGCAGAGTTGCGGTGTAGGCGCAGGTTTTTCCGATGAGACCTTCATCAATCATCGCCAACTTGACAAAACGAGATGTTGATGGATCAATTGCAAGTGACGGCAGAATCAGTCCTCACTCCCGTTGGGAGACATGCCGATGATACCAGCCCCTGCCCGCAAGCTAGATACCCTCAAAGCTGTTGTGCGGACACACAAGCACGTGTCATCAGTGCTTGGGCAGCAGCAGCAGCAGCAGCCTGTGGTTGTCACTGTCGATGAAGTCCCTCTACTGTCAACCGATGGAACTAAAATGGGCCACGCCAGTGTACAGAGAGAGGCTTAAGTCACGATATGGGAGGCCTCCATCTTTCACTAGACCGGTGCACGCTGGCTTCCGGCACAGCAGTTTGCGAACGGAAATGTCACATGCCAGGGCGACGAGGGAGCCCACAAGTTGACATTTTGCGTGTCGCGGTGGCCGCTTGCCCAGAACGGCTCTCTGCCTTCACAAAGCACCGCACGGTCAACGTCCCACAAGGGATACTCAGCGATCGTCCGGCGAGACGGAGTCAGAGTTACGGAATGAAAGGGGACGGTTATTTGCAACTTCATTTGCACAGTTTGGATTGTAAGAGCCCGACGACAAGTACGCCGAGCCCCCGAAACGAAAAGAAAAGGCGTTTAACGTCTCTCCCCCAACGTCGTGCATTTTGTCATTCAAAACCGCAGCCTCTCTGCGGAACGGCAAGCCCTCCAGTTTAACACGTGGCAGGCTTTTGCCGAACAGTATCATCCATAGTACAGGTTTTTTTTTGTGTTAGATCGCGTAAATATATAAATGCGTCGTTAGACCCACCACCACCCGACACAGCCAACTAGTAAGGGTTGTCACATAAACAGAACGTGCCAATTCTTCACTAGTACAGCACACCGGTGTGTTGGAGAGCCAAGCCACAACATTTATAATCTGAGTACGACGTTTCGCCAGTAATTACAACGAGCTTCATCAGGCAACAACCAGATTTGTGAAGTCCACCTGTTTCGTCCGTTATAAAGGCGTAGATGTGATGACAACACTTGTGCGCTCGTATTGCACAAAGTGTGCGGGGGGGAGGTTAATGAATCAACGCACATTATGCATGCGCATTATGCGAGCCCATTGATCTTGTACTTCCTGTCCATTGTGTGTACTAAAATAGCCGTAACAACGGTAATCCCTATTGAAGTATGGTGGCCTGTATAGGCGTGCATTTAAACAATGTATTATTTGATGATTCCTCTCCAAGCGGCACTAAGTCGGTAGCTATCCGAACGGTTACAATTATTTTTAGTTCTCTCAATTTAGATGGATTCTCTTAATTAGTCTTGGCCAGTAGTAACCTGTGTAACGACACATATATTTACGCGATCTAACCCACGCAAACCCTCCGTATTATCATCTCGCACTTCTTCTTTGGTTCTTTCGGTAAAGTCACGTAGAATGAGAATAAAATACTAAATTGATAAAATAAAATAACACGATAATAATCTTCTCACGACGTTTCGGCCACAACACAAGCGGCCTTCATCAGGTGAAGGGACGAGACTGTCTGGTAGGACAGCGCTGGAGGTCTCATCTCGCACTTGTCACGGCAACACCGTCACCAAGATTGTCACTCGTGAATGGTTTCCCATCTCTCCTGAGACTTTCGCCCTCCGAGCTTATGTGTTGGGTTTCCTTCCTGCGGGTACAATAATAAAAATTAATTACAAAATGTTTTCGTTTGATTGCATAAAAGTAAATGCCTAATAAACCTAACCTCCACCCGACCAAAGCCAATTAGTGAGGTCTGTCACGTGAACCAAACGTGGCAATTAGTTACGACTTGAGCACACTGGTTGTGTATTGGAGAGAAAACTCACAACATTTACCACTGGTTTGCTCTCCCAACAAACCGGCACGCTGAAGTGGTTGTTGTTGTTGTTGGTGCTGCCGCTCAGGGTGATGAAGTTCCTCGTCGCGAAGAAGAAGTTCAAGGAGACGCTGAGGCCGTACGACGTGAAGGACGTCATCGAGCAGTATTCAGCAGGACACCTCGACATGCTGGGCAGAGTCAAGAGCCTGCAGGCCCGGTGAGACCATCACCGTAACAACCACAACAACCACAACAACCACCACCACAACCACCACCACAACCACGACAGCAACCACGACCACCTCAACTACAACCACCTCAACAACAACTAACCACAATAACAACTACAACAACCACGACTACAACAACTATAACAACCACAACCACCACATCAAGAACCACAACAACCACTGAAACCACTACAACAACCACAACAACTAAAACAACAAACAACTAGAACAACCACCACAACAACCGCCACAACAACAGAGTCTCCATTGGAAAATCTCACAGAGCAGTGCAACCGTTCACGTTCGTGAACGTCTCATGGAAGTGGATACAACAGAGCTACCTCTGAGATCCCTTCTACTTCAAGTTACATCTGATCCACAGCCATTAGAGAGCAGCTCCTACCACTCGCTCTGCCATGTGCGGTTGTAACAGTTAAATCGGTATTTTACTGGTAGGAACCTCCTGGTTCCTACCAGTAAAATACCACGTCCGGCTATCTTCACGAGATTTTTCCCTCCACGTGGAGAATCAACAACATGCGTTTGGAGTATGCGGCTGCTCTCAATCTCTACATTATAAGCCACCAATTCGTTGAGCCATCATTCGAGGCAAGGTCACTTCGGAATCGTATACAGCTCAGTGGGCCCTGCCCGGTCAAAGCGGAATGCACCACGTGGTGCCGCCGTTGACCCTGGCCATTGACCGAGCAACCCAACGTTCCTACCAGCTCCCTCCGCAGGAATGTGTTAATTCTCAGAACTGGAATGTAACGCAGAACACAATTTGAACAAACAGAACCAAACTCACCGCACTTGACCTCTTCTGAGCCACCTGACCTTCACGGCTGGTACAATCTTCAACAGGAGAGATAGAGGAGGAGGAGAAGCGACGTCTGTATGCATGTTGAACTTCTTTCGCACCGTACGTAGCCAACCGTGCTACTTCGGAGGTGCGATGGAAGGACTACAAAGCAAACACGAAAAGCATTTCTAAAGAAATTTGTTTTCAGTCTAGATGATTCAAAGGTGCATAGCTCCAGTGGCTTCCAAATATCAGAGGGAAGAGCGTTCCAGGCGACGACGATTCGAACGAGCGCGTCCGCGCCCGCGCGTGCAGGGTCGACCAGATCCTGGGCGTGAGGACCCACTCGGGGCCTGTGGAGCGGAGGGGCCGCGACCGTGGGGCGGGCCCCGAGGCGGAGGCGCCGTGTGACGAGCTCAGCCTGCTGGGCCGCGTGGCGCGCGTCGAGAAGCACGTGCGTGTACCCCCCACCCCCCCCCCCCCCCCCAACGCATCGCGGCCGCCGCCACAATCGGCCGCAGACACGCCGCCCCCCTTTTTCCGCCATTCCTCTCGGGTGGAGCAAATGCCGCCGCGGTGAATTCGTTTGCGCTCGCGTTGGGTTTTTTAATAAAAAAAAAATTATGGAATGTTTAACAACATTCTGGATAATATGTATCGTGTTGTTTATACAGTGTTGTGATTCAATAATATACAGTGTTGTTATTCATCCCAGCAGTGATATAAAAAGTGCAGCACAGTCGAATGGGAATTCGTGTGTGGTGGGGTAAAGTGTGGGTACATCTGGCCAGAGTGGGAGAGTGAATCTAATTATCTCTAGAGGTCCCACTAAAGGAGGCCCTTCCTAAAGCAGTGGCTTGAGCAACTGCAGGGGTGCGCCTTCATCTTCAATTTATTATCTGCATACGTGCATGTGCAGCCGTTTGATCAATTCAGCTCACATTTTATTTGCGCTTGTGGTCTTGGGTAGGGATAGTGCTTAGTTCGCTCGTGCGGTGCCTATCTGACCAGCTGCTTAGTCCCATTCCCCATCCCCGCAGACACGTTTGACTTTTCACTTGCACGTCGGTTTTCCTGGTCACGGCGTCTCCCATCCTCGCCACGCCACAGGTCCAGGCGATCGAGCAGAAGCTGGACATTCTGGTCGACCTCCACCGCCGCATCCTTGCCGTGCCTCCCGCCGACGACCCCCAGGCGCTGCCGTGGCCCCCTCCTCCCCCGCCGCCCCCTCCCGAACGGGGGCCAACCGAGCCGCGGGCGCTGGCCTACGAGCTCGGAACGACCGCTCCGATCGCGGCTCCGACCGTCGCCACCGCCGACAACGACCACGGTTACTTCTCGGCGCCCAAACCCGCGTCGACGTTCGTGCGTCTCGCCGACCACGGGGAGCCTCCGCCGCAGCCTCCGCCACCGCCTCTGCCGCCGCCTTCCCCACCGCCCCACGGCAAGCAGCGGTCGCGGTTCGGTGCCAGGCGGGCGCACCCGGCGAGCGAGCCGTCGTCGCGCGTCGACCCGGCGCCGCCGCTGCCGCCGCCGTACTCGTCTTTCGCGGCCGGGGCCTTGCCGTGCGGCCGCGCCGGAGGGCGCAGGTCGACGGCCGAGGGCCGGCGGGGCCGGGCGCACAGCCTCGACTGCCTCGAGCGGGAGAACGGCGTCGGGGTTCCGTCGACGGCGGCGCCGGCGTCAGCCGTCTCGCCGGCTGCCACGGCGACGGCGGGCGAGGGCTGGGCACGTCTGGCGGCGCAGGAGAGCCTGGGCAGCGACGACGCGTCGCTCAGTTGGCAGGACGTGGTGCTCTTCATCAGCGACGAGGACGCGCAGCACGCGGACGCGGCGAGCGAATGCGACGCCGACGACGCGGTGGCGGCGGCGGCGGCGGCGGCCGAGAGGCGCTCAGGGCTCGCGTGACACGGCCTCCCCGGGGGCAAAGGTTAAGGGTGGCAGGGTGAGGTGGAGGGTGAATCACAGCGCGCAAACCTTGAAGGTGGGCCCTCTGCTGGCGGGGTTGTGGAAACGCCGACCAGAGCTCTGGTCTCGCGTGAGATTCCCGAACTCCACCCATCCAAGTCCTCGCAACCCACTACGGCGCCACTTCTCCACGTTTTAATACTTCCTCGCTCCCCCGCGCGCATCATCCGATGATTGCTAAACGAATCCCACGTGACATAGGACACACGTGGTGACACGTAAGAGATGTGTTGATTAATTCGAATCGGCACTCCCCATGTCACGTGGAATATGTTTATAAATCGTCAGGCACTTGCGGCATGTCACAACTTAATTTAAACAGAGACCGTTGGTACATATGGGAAGGTGGACTATGGTGAGTCGTAATGACTGGAGTTTGGGCACACTGGATCTGATGCTGCTTCACCCAAATGGACCCAGACCTGTGCAGGCACCAGGGTACCTCGCATGCCTCCATCTGGCATGGTTGGGCACAAAGGACAATGTATGCCTACACATGTTAGAACCCATTGAGATAAACCTGTCTCAGTGACGAGCGTTGCCTGCTGGGGTAAGAAAAAGCACAGCGGTTACAGAAAGAAAAAAAAACATGAACAACAATTAAATATATTACCGTGCAAATGTTTCAGTTTCGCAACATTATCCATTACACGTTTTCACGGGCAACGTGGCTGGGCTGTTGCTGGCTCGGCGAGTGGCAGTTGAGGCCACTACAGTTTTAAGTCTTAACACTGCGGTCCCAGGGATATGATCTCGCCCTTGCACCAATGGCGTGAATGCCGAGTTGATTGAGTCTCTTCAGAGGACAAATGCTTTTGATTTCCAACAAAATGGTACCTGTACTCTTGACCGCCCCAAGGGAAATGATGGGCTGAGTTGACCCCCGTAACGGGATTTGAACTGGTAACGTTCCAAATGCAGGGCGAACGGACTCGTCGCTTGCACCACCCGGGCAGCTGGCCCGAGTCTCCGCTCTCAGTCCGTTTAATATTGAACGCAGCGCGACGCTGTTGGCTGTCGGCAAAGAGGCAGAAGTGTTACAGTCCTGTGGCAGGGCCAGGTCTGTCCGTAATACAGTGACCACTGATGACATCTCTGCACCAAGTGTTGAGGCCTCCCCAGATGGTGCTCACCTCAGAAAAATTAATGATGGTGGTGGTGATTAAGGGCTAAGGTAGCTTTGGCTGGGATTCGAACCTTGTAATTATGATCCTAGTCCTCTTCCAAATAGACTACGGAGGTTGCAACTCCCAATCTTGTGTGATTCCACCAATCCAACGTCCATAAATAAATGTGGGCTCATGGAACACTACCCAGTCAGCATTGATGACTTATCAACAACAACAACAACAGGCAGCGGAAATATGAATCAATGATCAAAGAGGACATAAACCGTCACAGTGGCAAAGTCGCAACCCAGAGGAACGACTACGAAAGAATGAATAAACTGACAATGGCATCACCACATCAGAGCAACAACGAGTATTTAATGACGCGCGACGCATCAACTTGTATTTAAGCCGGCGAGGGTTCGCGGGCTCGTGGCGCGGGTCTGCAAGCACGGTTCATCGACGCAGACGCAGCGGCGTTGGCCGGCGATGGGGAAAAAAAAAAACCGCGGCGAACGAATGTCGGCCACCGCCATTGCTGTCACAGCCACCGCGGCGTCGAAACCGGCGGTTTTCCCAAAGTGCACGCGGTTTTAAACCACGCGCTGCCGGTATGAATGTACTGTAACTCGCTGACCTCATGCAAATAATCACGTGTTTAATAAGGCAGCACAGTGCTGGAATGAGAAGAAGAATAAGAAGAAAAAAAAGTTGGGGGGGGAAAAAATCAACCAAACTAGAATTGGAGTAAAAAAAAATGATGCGGGCTTTTGTCCGTAAGTATTCGCAAACCCGAATGCGCACACTGTTACGTCTCGGTGCGTAACTTGTCGGACCCTCACGTTGGACAAGCTTTGTTTCTTTTCATTCCAGTGCGTGGCTGTCTGTCACACGCGCGTGCTGCTGTACCGGGCATATTCATCGTGCGCTTTAAACGTTTCAAAAGCCACAAGCGGGGTTTGTTTCATCGCTGAAAGTGAAATGTTGTAGATGTACGTCATGTACCGGCCAATGGGCCTCCTTCCAGATCAGTGTTACCCAGGGTGATTTTAGGTGAACCGAGGCAACTTTGCATCGGTTTCAACTTTATTGAACGTCTTCTGCGGGGTCTAGACACTTGAAACCGCGCCACTGTAATGGCAAAGCCAGAGTAGGCCAAAGTAACACATGTCGGCTTATAACTGTGGAATGATATTGCAAATTAACAGACATTATAATGTATGGGTAATGGTTTATGTTCTCAAAAAAAAACACGCGACATTACAAGCAATAGATTTATTTTAATTGGTAAGAGACTTTAAGCTCTCAAGGGATGTTATATTATACAACAACAACAACAAAAATCTGCTTTCCTGAGTGGCCCAAAATTATAATTCAAAGTGTCACCTTTTTTTTAGCTCCTAGCTCCAAGACATTTGAACAAAACTGCAGAATTTTAATTACAGACTCCACAACTGCAAAGCCAGAGTACACAACTGCAAAGCCAGAGTAGGCCAAAGTAACACATGTCGGCTTATAACTGTGGAATGATATTGCAAATTAACAGACATTTTATAATGTATGGGTAATGGGTTATGTTCTAAAAAAAAAACACGCGACATTAAAAGCAATAGATTTCTTTTAATTGGTAAGAGACTTTAAGCTCTCAAGGGATGTTATATTATACAACAACAAAAATCTGCTTTCCTGAGTGGCCCAAAATTATAATTCAAAGTGTCACCTTTTTTTTAGCTCCTAGCTCCAAGACGTTTTAACAAAACTGCAGAATTTTCATTACAAACTCCACAACTGCTCTTGCAAAGCTGGTAAGCTGCATGGTCAGGACAAGCACAGGGAGTCACCGGAATTCGACTCGGCAACGAGTGAGGAGGGAAAGTCGGGGGGGGCCGCAGTGGCACGTGCCCAACACAAAGAAGCCGGCTATCCCGGTGACCCCGGGTGCAAACAATGCCACCAACGGCTGACATCAGCGGAGAGCGATATCTGCACCGGTCCTGCCACCTGCTTCACCATGCTGTACTCACCAATCACGGTGAGTGCAGCTTGGTGGATAAAACGCAGCAAATTGGATGGGACATCATCGACATTGAAGGGGGGCTAAATTAGTTACAATTGCGATTATTGTTATCGTACTTATCGTTCATGCCGATGCCTTTTCAGATGAGGCTCAAAATACGTCGAAAGGTTAACGTGAAGCCCCCCACACCGTGCCGTTTTCGGGGGCATGAGTAGCTCACACCCCGTGAGTGACCGACGTCACTCACGCCCTTTGCAGGCTTTTTGTTCCCCTACAGCAGCAACAAAAACACTACTTTATTTATTAAACATTCACCATCTCGCCTGGCGTGCATGGGTACCTGAGTGCATGCGAGCGCTGTGCAGGTTGGAACCTTCCTGTCCTCTCCGAGGTCAGCCCATTAACCTTACTTACAGGTCAACTCGCCCAAAATTACTTGTTTCGGTGACCTCGCAGTCATCGCCATTTATTGAACCCGGTGACGGCCCGCTTAGATTCGTCATCTCATTCCCAAGGGAATTCTGGGGGGGGGGGGGTCGGGAAATATGCAGACACAGTGGCCAACTTAAACCGCGACAGTGTGGAAGTCTGTAGGCATAGCGGCGTTTCCCCTTTAGGCTTGACTTCACAAATCGTCACGATGATTTGACGTCAGCATCGACCGATAAGCTTTGTAATGCATAGTGTCGTTTGTGTCACCTCATTTGTTCCGTCTAAATCCGTTTGTCCTCTGAAAATCGTTTCGTTAGCCTAAATATAATGAGTATATTTTCAGGCTAATACGATAATTGCATGAATCATAGAAATAGTCGATTCTTTCGCGCATGGTTCGATGCATGCACCGCAAGGATATATATCGATGAATTGCTGCATAAACAAAGTAAAGTTGCCATCCCTATGACCCCAGAACAAAACATGAGTTGCCACCCGTGGGTTTAAACCACGTGTCCGGGGTTGAGGCGGTTTCCCTCGGTGTGCCATACAAGTGGCGCTCACCGCCAAATGAACAGCCGTCATCTTCTGCCGTATTGCCAGACACCGCCTCTGCAGGCCGTGGTTGGCCCAAGCACTTTTTTTTTTAATGAAACCGCCTTTTATATTGCACGTGGTGACAGTGATTACACAACAGTGGACATAATAACCCTGAACCCTACTTATCACTCTCCTGCAAAACACTCATTAATTGGTCTATTTCACGTTAATGTATAGAGGACAACAGAGCTTTGGCAATTGTTGGCAGCGCCGGCTAACCTCACGACTGCTGCTTGTCTGTGGTTCCTCCTCTCCGCGCACCCCGTGAGTCGACCCTTGTCTCTCTCTCTCTCTCTGCGGGAGCGGAGCGAACAGCGTGCGATGGCGGTACACCGTTAAAAGTGGAAACGTCGTCATTATTATTATTATTGCTGCCCGTCGTTTGGGCGGGCCGAACGGCGCACCGTGGTGCTGCGGGTCATCCCGCGAGAATTCCTCCTCGTGGCGGCTGGCTTGCACGGACGCTCCGTTGACGGTCTCTGCCGGTGATCTTTCAGACTCCATGTCTTGTCGTCGTTCCGTTCGTTTGAGTTGCGCTTTATTTTCTTTGTTTGCCGGATGAAGGACAGTAGTCGCCCCCCACCCCACCCCACTCTCCTCGAGATGAAGACGCAGAATTTCATCATCCGTTTTAACCCCACACAGGCACGACTGCGTATGCACGTGGTTAGGGGTTGGTAGTTGTGCGTATCTTGTGTTAATAAGTCAACGGAACTGTCCTCTGCTACTGATATTCGTAACAGGATGATGGGATAGCGGTCTAGCCAGCCGGACGGTGGTGACCTCGCGTGCCGTGGAGCGGTTTGTCTTAAGTTATTCACGCACATTATTTATTGTCACGCAGTTTGCACGTGTGTGTGTGTGGTGTGCACGTGTGTGTGGTGTGCACGTGTGTGTGTGGTGCTCGCGTGTGTGTGGTGCGCGCGTGTGTGTGGTGCGCGCGTTTGTGTGTGTGTGGTGTGCACGTGTGCGCACTTCACACACACGTGTGCGCACGTGTGTGTGTGTGAAGTGCACGTGTGCGCACGTGTGCGTGTGTGGTGTGCACGTGTGTGTGGTGTGCACGTGCGTGTATGTGGTGCGCACGTGTGTGTGTAGTGTGCACGTGTGCGCACGTGTTTGTGTGTGCGCATGTTTGTGTGTGTGCGCGTGCATGTTTGTGTGTGTGCGCGTGCATGTTTGTGTGTGTGCGCGTGCATGTTTGTGTGCGCATGTTTGTGTTTGTGTGCATGTTTGTGTGTGTGTGCGCATGCATGTTTGTGTGTGCGCATGCATGTTTGTGTGTGTGCGCATGCATGTTTGTGTGTGTGCGCGTGTATGTTTGTGTGTGTGTGCGCGTGCATGTTTGTGTGTGTGTGCGTGCATGTTTGTGTGTGCGCGTACATGTTTGTGTGTGTGTGCGCGTGCATGTTTGTGTGTGTGTGTGCATGTTTGTGTGTGCGCGTACATGTTTGTGTGCGCATGCATGTTTGTGTGTGTGCGCGTGTATGTTTGTGTGTGTGTGCGCGTGCATGTTTGTGTGTGTGTGCGTGCATGTTTGTGTGTGTGTATGTTCCGATGATTGGTGCCCAGATTGACCTCTGCGGAGGAGGCTCGTGAAGGACGCTGCTGCTGCTGCTGCAGGGCAGAGCAGCGACGCTCACTTCAACGAGCGGAGCGCCGGGTGGATAAAACGCATCAAATTGGCACTGTTGGAGCACGGATGGGGTTCATCTGCCAGTCATCTGAGTCGATCAACCCATGGCACCTGGGTCTGTCGAGTGACCTGTCGGCAAGCCTTCGACACTGCACCTAGCCTGGCACAAGCGCCGTGGTGACGCCACCGTCACTTAGTAGTCAATGGCTTGTATGCGTGTGTGTTTTTATATATTTGTGTACTTGTGTACGTGTACAAATGCTTGTGTGTGCGCGTGACCGTGTATGTGTACTTGCATGTATACATATGTAACCATATGTATGAGTATTTATTTGCGTGAGAATATATGTAAATACACGAGCTAATGTTTATTCACGTGCGAGTGCATGTGTATATATGTACAGCGTGTACAACTGCGGTGTTGCACCGCATGTATGTAACGCGTCCACCCACAGTCAACGTGCGAATGTTCAGCGAACGTTGGGATGTGCAGTTGGAACCGTTGCGCAATCGATGGCCGAATATTCCATCTGCGCGAAGTTTCATTTACACATGTGCTTGTATAGTTCTGTAGTGCGTGTGTGTGTGTGTAGTTTGTGTATACTCTGTGTACATGCGTATGTATTAGGGCTGTAACGATGAATTCCCTGGCAATTTAAATTAATTGTCGCGATTCAGGGTGATGATTAATAACACTGTTTACATAGTACACAACGTAAGGCAGTCGGGTTGATTGATGCAAGCACTGATCCACTCCTCAGTCGCCTCCTTATCACTCGATTATCGCTACTACCGTGAACTTCAACAAAGGAGTTATCACCTGGTTAAACGAAATAAACTTTGACTTGTTTGATTACCTCCACCTATGTTGAAGACTCGAGCGATGGACAATACCGACCATGTTGTGTCATCCGTAGCGTGTTCAACCACTACACTGCAGGTCACAACAACACACTCACCCACCCACTCACCACCCTGTAGATCACAACAACACACTCACCCACCCACTCACCACACTGCAGGTCACAACAACACTCACCCACCCACTCACCACCCTGCAGATCACAAAAAC